GGTCTGTAATTCTCCTTTTTAGTGGGGCATTTGGTTTTAGGATCAAAGTAATACTGGCCTCATAGAAAGAGTTTGGGAATTATCCTTCCATTTCTAGTTTTTGAAACAGCTTCGGAAGAATAGGTATTAATTCTTTAAATGTTTGGTAGAATTCCCCTGGGTAGCCATCTGGCCCCGGACTCTTGTTTGTTGGGAGGTTTTTGCTTACTGCTTCAATTTCCTTGCTGGTTATGGATCTGTTCAGGTTTTCTGTTTCTTCTTGTTCAGTTTTGGTAGTTTATATGTGTCTAGGAATGCATCCATTTCTTCCAGATTGTCTAAGTTCAGAGTACCCTTACAATCCTTTTTATTTTTGTAGAATTGATAGCAATGTCTCCAGTTTCATTTCTGATTTTGGTGGTTTGAATCTTCTGGTTTTTTTCCTAGACTATCTAGCTAAAGGTTTAATTTTGTTGATCTTCTCAAAGAACCAAGTGCTAGTTTTATTAATTTTTCTGTGTTCTGTTTTCTATTTTTTTTTTAATCTCTGCTGTAATCTTTGTTATTTCCTTCCTTCTGTTTGCTTTGGCTTTAGTTTGTTGTTCTCCCAGTTCCTCACATTATAAAGTTAGTTTGTTGAGATCTTTATTTTTAATGTCAGTGTTCATAGTTTTAAATTTCTCCCTTAGTGCTGCTTTTGCTGCGTCCCATAAGTTTTGATATGTTGTGTTTTTGTTTTCATTCATCCCTAAGTATTTTCCAGTTTTCCTTTTAATTTCTCCTTTGACCTATTGGTTGTTTTAAAATGTTCTTTAGTTTCCACAATTTTGTAAATTTTCCAGTTTTCCTTTTGTTACTCATTTCTAACTTTATCTTGTAGTCATAAAAGCAAATTTGTATGGTGTCTATCTTTTAAAAATCTATTGAGACTATTTGTTGCTTCACATGTGGTCTATCCTGGTAAATGTCCCATGTGTAACTTGCAAAGAGTGTTTATTCTGTTGTTGGGTGGAGTGTTCTGTATATGTCTGTTAGATCCTGTTGGTTTATTTTTTGAAGTTCTCTGTTTCCTTATCTTTTGTCCAGTTGTTCTGTCAATTGTTGTGGGTGGGTATTGAAGTCTTTAAGTGAAATCTTCTGTCAGTTTTGATTGTGTTTTATTAGGTGTGCAAATGTTTATAATTGTAACAATTGCTAACTTGAGCCTTTTATTAATGTATAATGTCCTTTTGTGTCTCTTGAAACCTTTTTTGTTTTAAAATATATGTTGTCTCATATTAGTATAGCCATCCTTGCTCTTTCTTGGTTACTGTTTGCATGGTATGTTTTTCCCTCTTCCCATTTTCAACCTGTTTGGGTCTTAGGATCTCAGTTGCTTGTAGACAGCATATAGCTGGATCATATATTTTTATGGATTTTTGATAATCTCTGTCTTTATTGGAGAGTTTAATCTGTTTACATTTAAAGTAATTATAGAGGGGCACCTGGGTGGCTCAGTGGGTTAAGCCTCTGCCTTTGAATTAGGTCATGATCTCAGGGTCCTAGGATTAAGCCTCGAATTGGGCTCTCTGCTCAGTAGAGAGCCTGCTTCCCCCCCACACACACCCCCTCCCACCTGCTGCTCTGCCTACTTGTGATCTCTCTCTCTCTGTCAAATAAATAAATGTTTAAAAAAAAAAAAAGGGGTACTTGGGTGGCTCAGTGGGTTAATCCTCTGCCTTCGGCTCGGGTCGTGGTCCCAGGGTCCTGGGATCAAGCCCCACATCGGGCTCTCTGCTCAGTGGGGAGCCTGCTTCCCCCTCTCTCTCTGCCTGCCTCTCTGCCTACTTGAGATCTCTGTCAAATAAATAAATAAAATCTTAAAAAAAAAAAAGTAATTGTAGATAATGTCATTATGCTTATGCTGTTTGTATTCTACATGCCTCATAGGTTTTTGTCCCTCATTTCCTGCATTACTGTCTTTTAGTTGATTTTTCCATGGTGAAAATTTCAAATTCCTTTCTCTTTTCTTTTGTGTATATTCTACGTCTGTTTTCTTTGTGGTTACCATGATGGTTATGTTTAACATCATAAAGTTATAATAATTTGAATTTATACTGATGTAACTTCAGTAACATACAAAATTTCTTTTCTTTGTAGCTGTGTCCCTATATCTTTTAGTTGTTGATGTCACAAAGTTGTCTGTACGTTGCATGCCCCAGAACATAAACTAATAGTCCTTTCTTCTTTTTTGTCAGAGAGAGAGAAAGAATGTGTTATTACAAGCAGGGAGGAGCAACAGGCACGGGGAGAAGCAGGCTCCCCACAGAGCAAGGAGCCAAATATGGGACTCAATCCCAGAACCCTGGGATATTGACCCGAGCCAAAGGCAGACACTCCACTGACTGAGCTACCCAGGCTTCCCTAATAATCCTTTTAAATGGATTAGGGTTCTAAATTAAATAGGAAATAAGGCTTGATTTACAAACCAAAGTTACAGTAATATTAGCTTTTGCATTAATAATTGTGTTTTTTTCCTTAAAATGTGTTAGTCGGTTAAATCATATAGACAACAAGAAGCCCATTTATAGACCATTGTTAAAACAGTAGTAGCTTTGGGGGCACCTATCTGGCTCAGTTGGTAGAGCATGGGACTCTTGTTCTCAGGGTTGTAGATTCTAGCCCCATGTTGGGGGTAGAGATTACTTTAAAAAAAAAAAAAAGGTAGGTTTTATAGTTGCCCATGTATTTACTGCAGATCTTTATTTCTCCCTATGGCTTCGACTTACTATATAGTCTCCTTTCATTTCACGTTGCAGGATTTCTTTGAGTACTTCTTGGATGACTGACTGGTCTAATAGTCATGAACTTCCTCAGCTTTTATCTATTTGGAAATGTCTTAATTTCTTGCTAACTTCTGAAGGGCATTTTTGCTAGATATAGGATTCTTGGTTGACAAGTTTTTTTCTTTTAGCACTTGGAATCTATTGGTTCACTGTCTTCTGGTCTCCAAAGCTTCTGATGAGATACCTGTTCATGATCTTATTGAGGATCTCTTGGACCTGTTGACTCACTTCTCTTGTTACTTTCAAGATTCTCTGTCTTTGGCTTTTGAAGTTTGATATTCACATGTGAGTCTCATTGAGTTCATCTTGGAATTTATTGAGCTTTTGTTTCTATTCATGTCTTTATCAAAGTTGGGAACTTTGTAGCCATTATTTTTTCATATTCTCTCTGCCCCTTTCTTTTTCCCTTCTGGAATTTTCACAGTGCATGTGTTGGTCCAGTTGATGGTGTCCAGCAGGCTTTCGTCTTTTTTTATTATGTTCCTTAGACTCAGTGATTTTCATTGTCCTGTCTTAAAGTTTAATGATTCTTTCTTCTACCTGTTCAAATCTATGTTTGAATCCCTTTGGTGGATTTTTCATTGTAGTTACCGTACTTCTTAGCTCCAGTTTCTTTTTGGTTTCCTTTTAGATTTTTTATCTCTTTTTTGATATTTCCATTTTGTTCATATATTGTTTTCTTAACTTTCTCCATACTTCCTTTAAGTAATTTGAGTATCTTTAAGGGAGGTTTTTTTTTTTTTTTTTTTTTTTTTTTTTTTTTTTTTTTTTTTTTTTTAAGATTTTATTATTTATTTGACAGAGATCACAAGTAGGCAGAGAGGCAGACGGCAGGTGGGGAAGCAGGCTCCCTGCTGAGCAGAGAGCCTGATGTGGGGCTCGATCCCAGAACCTGGGATCATGACCTGAGCTGAAGACAGAGGCTCTAACCCACTGAGCCCTGTCCAGGCGCCCCTTTAAGGGAGTTATTTTAAAGTCTTTGTGTGGTAGTTCTGCCATCAGGTCCTTTTCAGGGACAGTTTCTGTTGATTTATTTTTTTCCTTTGAATGGGTCATACTTTTGTATTTCTTAAAATGCTTTGTAATTTTTTTGTTGAAATCTGGACATTCTAATATAATAATGTGGTAACTGGAAGTCAGATTCCCAGGCTTTTCTGTTTTTTGTTATTATTTTTGGATGGGGGTTGGATTTGATTTGGGGTGGTGTCTCTGCTGAGGATAAGCCTGAGATGTAAACTTAAGGTATTCTCACTTCTTTTCTAAGTCTTTCCCTGGGAGCGTGTGGTCAAAATTTTCTAATTTTCTCTGTACATGCTTTTTTTTTTTTTTTTTTTTTTTTTTTTTAATATCCTGCTCTTAATGTCTGGCTCCCAAAAGAGGAAAAAAGCAAAAAATGAAGGGGAGAAGAAAAGGTGCTGGTCCTTTAAGTCCCTTGAGAGTCACTTTAGCCAGAGGGCAAGGAGCTTGCAGCAGTAGAGGAAGGAGCCTTAACAGTGGCTGCCTGTCTCTTAGTCTGTACTCTTTTGTCAGAAGCTGCGATCAGGGATCAGAGCACAGAGACTGCTGTTTGCAGGAGAGTCATTTTTGCTGGTACTGGCTCTCCCAGAGTGCAAGCTGCCTCCATTGTGGCTGGGGTAGGAGATGGGTAGTTGCTAATGTGCTGAGAGGTGAAATTGATGTAAATTACTCCAATTTACTGTGCAAGGCTTACCCCAAAAGTTGCAAGCCTTTAACAGACTCCAGAGTCCCAAAATAGTTACATCAGACAAATTCTGTCAGTGCAGTTGTTGTCTGAGGGGAGAGATTCCTGGTGCTTCCTACTCTGACATTTTCCTAGAATCCTCCTCCTTCTCTGCTAAGGCTAAGTGTGATTTGTTGTGCTTCTATACCACATTTTGCTTATCCATTATCCATTATGGACATTTGAGTTGCTTCCATATCTTGGCAATTGTGAATAATGATGCAGTGAACATGGGAGTTCAGAGATCTCCTTGAGGTCTTGTTTGTATGACTCTTGACTGAAGGTTTTCAAAATCTTACTTCTAATGGTTATAATTAGTGATTTTTAGAGTAGCCTCCTGCCTTTGGGCTACCCAGAACTTCCACTGTTGCAGCAAGCACAGTCTCTTCATTCCAGTCCCCCCCCCCATTTTATGAATTACCTGAGGTGAAGAGATGTCATTTGCTTCATTCTAGGCATGCCAGGCTGCCAGGAAGACAAAAGCAGATGATCGAGGAACAGATGAAAACACTTCGGAGCAGACAATTCTCAATATGATTTCCCAGAGCTCTTCAGACACAACTATTGCAGGTTTAATGAGCATGTCAACTTCTTCTGCAAGTGCAGTGCCTTCCCTTCCAGCCACTGAAGAGTCATCCAGCAACTTAAGCAATGTGGAGATGTTGCAGGGCGAGCGTTGGCTGTCCTCCCAACCTCCTTTTAAACTGGAACCTGCTCAGGGTCATCGGACTAGTGAGAATTTAGCACTTATGGGAGTTGATCATTCTTTGCAACAGGATGGTTCAAATACATTTATTTCCCAGAAGCAGAATAGTAAGAGTGTGCCATCAGCTAAAGTGTCACTGAAAGAATACCGTGCAAAACATGCAGAAGAGTTGGCTGCCCAGAAGAGGCAGCTGGAGAACATGGAGGCCAATGTGAAGTCACAGTATGCATATGCTGCCCAGAATCTCCTGTCACACCATGATAGCCATTCTTCGGTCATTCTAAAAATGCCCATAGAGGGCTCGGAAAACCCTGAGCGGCCTTTTCTGGAAAAGGCTGACAAAGCAGCTCTCAAAATGAGAATCCCAGTGGCAAGTGGAGATAAAGCTGCCTCTTCAAAACCAGAGGAGATAAAAATGCGCATTAAAGTCCATTCTGCAGCTGACAAGCACAATTCTGTAGAGGACAGTGTCACAAAGAGCCGAGAGCACAAAGAAAAGCACAAGACTCACCCATCTAATCATCATCATCATCATAATCACCACTCACACAAGCACTCTCACTCACAGCTTCCAGCTGGTACTGGGAACAAACGTCCAGGTGATCCAAAACATAGTAGCCAGACAAGCACCTTAGCACACAAAACCTATAGCTTGTCTAGTTCTTTCTCCTCTTCCAGTTCTACTCGCAAAAGGGGCCCCCCTGAAGAGACTGGAGGGGCAGTGTTTGATCATCCAGCCAAGATTGCCAAGAGTACTAAATCCTCTTCCATAAATTTCTCCTTCCCTCCTCTTCCTACAATGGCCCAGTTGCCTGGGCATAGCTCAGACACAAGTGGCCTTCCTTTTTCACAGCCCAGCTGTAAAACTCGAGTTCCTCATATGAAACTGGATAAAGGGCCCACTGGGGCCAATGGTCACAATGCAACCCAAACAATAGACTATCAAGATACTGTGAATATGCTTCACTCTCTTCTCAGTGCCCAGGGTGTTCAGCCCACTCAGCCCCCTGCATTTGATTTTGTTCATTCTTACGGTGAATATCTGAATCCAAGGGCTGGTGGAATGTCCTCCAGATCTGGCAATACAGACAAACCCCGGCTACCACCTCTTCCATCAGAGCCTCCTCCACCACTTCCTCCCCTTCCTAAGTAAAAAAGAAAAAGAAGAGGAGAAAAAAACTTCCTTAAAAACAACTTTTTTTTTTTTTTTTTTTTTAAACTACTGATTCTGGACTAAGGAAATTACTTCCCTTATGAAATATGTCACCCTTCTTGGACTAGGGAATAAGTAATATTGACATGCAGGTGGGAGGGTGGTAGAGGGGCTTGGTTATTATATCTACTGCCTCAGAAATTGAACTATTTTGTTATAGTTTTTACTGGTATTAGAGAGGTGAGAATGTGTTGAAGCTGTGAAGGATTAAGAATACTTTCTCTGTTCTTGGCCTCTCCACCTCCTAATTAGGTTGATTAGAGTTGATGTCTTCCCTCTTCTGGCCAGGACTGAAATATGGAGGGTTTGTTTTATCAAACAGTTGTGGATCCTTTTGGTGTTTAATATATCAGAAGAGTGGAAGTATTTAAACGTCAAAATCTTTTAAGAGACTTTAAAAAAATAATTTAAAGAAAGTAAGTTATCTGTTTAGTTTTTTTTATATCATCCGGGGCAGGAGGGAATAGGGATTTTGCTGTGTGTATGAGATACATGGCAATGACTCCTGGGGGGTGGGATTGGAGGGTGGGGGGGCTGTATAAGGGGGATGGGAGGGTAGGCTTTTGGCCTTGAGTTCTGTCTGATAGGCTCCGGCCACTTGAAGTGTTGAGACCTTTAAGTGTGTATGTAAGTGTGGGTATGTGTGGTTTTAAGCGTGTGTGTTTAAAAATCATGTTTTATCTTTCCATCCCTGTCCCTCACCGTTTTCACTTCCCAACAGTCTACTAGAGAGAACACGGTGTGGCCTTTAGAGCATAAAGGAAGGAAGAGGCATGTGTTAGCATGGTATTTTCCCGTTTCTTTATGTTGTAATTGAGTGGTAACCTTCTAAATTCTAGTTTGGGCAAGTGCAGCCAGTGGCTTGATTCTGGACTCCATTACAAAAACTTCCCTTTTACTCCCACCCCCTTTTTTTTTTGATGCAGAAGAAAGGTGGGGTTGAGGAAGAAGGATTGGAGAGCAAGGCTGGCGTCTGCCCTACAGAATTGGGTGTGTCTTTTTTTCAAGTTGGGCTTTGGGAAAGTGTTCAAGTGAGAGCAATCTCAGGGTCTCTGAAGGGAAGGGTGATGTGCTCTGTATTCTGCCTCTGACAGCCCAGACCATAGATGAGAATAGTTCTGGGAGAAGCCATGGACCTAGGGGATACTGAAAACAATGAAATTGTGATTGGGTATTTTTAGGATATTGAATTTTAAATTGCATTATGAATGTAAGACTTGCTTTTTATTTGTATATCTGAAGGGAAACAGCTGCATCCTTAATTTTTGCAACCTTAATTTTGCAACCTGACTTCAGAGATTGGAACTTGTGAATTTAACAGTACTGGTGTCATGAGGGTGAGCAAGCCTAGCCCACAGATGCAGGTTGTCCATCTTTGGTGGCTTTAGTTTCTAGGCAGGGGTTTTTCAGGAGATTTCTGAGTCGTTAAAAAAAAAAAAAAAAAAAAAAAAAAGAATCAGGAGTCATGGGTGCTTGATTATCCCAGATTTCTGGATAATTGGTGTTCAGGATGCCAACACTCAAAGCTCAACACTTGTTGAGGAAAGAAATCTCAAGGGACTAGAAAGAATTCTAAGCCAGGTTGTCTAACTGAAAATGCCACTAAGCCACAGATCATTTGATGTGGTGTTCTTTGGTCTTCACGGTATTTTTTGCTATGGAAAAGATGATGCAATTTGAATTTGTCTTGCTGTTTTTAGTGCAGCTTCCTTTACACCAAATATTCTGTATAGAAAAATGGAATATTTTTCATTGGAAGTTACAGGGAGATAGGAGTTGTACATGTGCTGCTGCTTGCCAGGAACAGGTTGGGGAGAAAACTGAGGCAGTTGGAGTTGTTGATGCACTGGCCTAATACAGGAAGGAATTTGTACAGTAAATCTTAAGGTGAATTAATGTCCTGCATCTCTGCATATTTGTACTGAACTGTCTAGAGTGCCTGCCATTGCTGTGTAAAATGAGCTCTCTGCTGACCTATAAACCAGTAATACTTAGAATGTTACTTCATTTTCACTGATGGCATTTTCCTCTATCCCCCTGGTATTTTCTGTGTTGTGCTAGGTGGTTGGGAGAAGTTACTAAATTACTAAATCTAGGCTTTCTATTTGTTTAGATTTTGTTTGGTGAAGTCTGCTTTCCTTCCTGACCTTCCCAAACGTTTATTTAGTTTGGATCTATATCTTTGTGGAATTGATCACTGATTTGATTATGAAAATGTCTTTTCCAGTGTTCAGATTTTCTCATCAAATGTCACGTATATTCTAATTGTGCGCACTCCTTCACCACAGAGGCAGACATATCCACTTGGCCTCAAAGCAGTTCTCCATGGCATCTGTGGTTAGTTCCTGAGACTTTTTGTCAGGAGTGGACTAGAAAAAGTGCTTACTAGAGCCTAAGAGCTGCTTTATGCTGTGCAGTCTGGCCTTTGCACTAGGAGTTCATTGCTGATGTAGGTCAATTTAAAGATCTGTATTAATGCCTCCTGATACTGTTTTAAGATATCTACAGTGTCTGCTTTTAGATCTGTGTATATGTCCTGAATGTCCTGTGTGCTCTGCATGAAGTTGCTGCATTTGGGTTAGCAGATATGCTTGTCAACTAGCATGCATATTTTTCAAATTACATAAACTTAGGCTTCAAAGAGTTGTGTGGTTTCTAAACTTTGTTTTCTCTATGCTCACACCTTTGAAGGGTGAGAAATGGGATTTATACATCCAAAGTTAGTCTAGTTAAACATGGCTTTTTTCCTCCTTTTAACCTAGACTATCAAGGATAAGTGGTGGTAAGCAGGCCTGGAGCCTCAAGTTCTATAAATCTCTTTACTAAAACCTTGTCTGACTCTTATGTTGTCAAAAACAAACACCTGTGGAATGTCCTTAGGGCTTTTAATCAGATACCTGTGTTGCTGTTGGCTGAACTCTAGTGAAGCATTAATTTAAAGCTAAATTGTTCTTCTGCAACATCAGTTACGCTTTTTCGGTTTAGAAAATACATAGGAATTAGTCTAAGCTGCTCACTCGTGAATCAGTGTGTTTCCATATCTGAGACTCTCAGCTTCCTCTTTTTTTTTTTTAAATGATTCTGTGTTTTGATTCAGTGTATCATTTTTCATAGTTCTGTATTATTGGCTTCACCAGTGTTGATAGAAAAAAAATTTTAATCTCCAGTTGGAAACAGCAATGGATTAGGATATAGAAATAAAATCATGGTAACATCAGTGCTGGATTTCCTTAAGCTTCTGCTACCTAATTTCCCATGTTGAAAATGCATACCCCTTATACTTTGCTTCTGGACAAAGGCAATTAGAGGGGTCTTAGCCCAGAATGGTAGGATTTTAAAGATCTTTGCCTCCCCTCCCCCCCCAATAAATGTGGGAACTTGGGAACAGATTAATTTTTTAAAAGGATTATTCTTTTGCCAATGAGTTATTTTGATACTAATGCTAGGAAAAGGGATATTCTAGAACATCTTGAAGTTGGAATACAAATATTATCTTGGGTTTTGGAGAATTTAAGCAGTCTATGCAACCCTTTACATGGTGAGAAATAAGCCTTTTGCAGTCCCAACTAAGCTTTCAGTGACTTTAATACCGCCCCAAATCTGTATTGCTGCTTGTTAACACCCAGCTTTTAACTGAGTGTTTGCTTCTGATGGTTTAAGAAATGTTCATGTTGTATCACACTATCAAGTTTTATTTTGTCTTTTATCCCTCTGTGGGTGTAAGTTTGAAACAAGCATGGTACTGTAATCCTACCTGATAGAGTGGTCTGGAAGGAGAATTTTCTAAGTGGGAGACCCTTCCATTTTAATGTTTCTAAAGTTTTTAATATGAGCTTGGCATTGGAAAAGGGAGGGAAAGAAAATGTTTACTAAAAAGCAGTGTCCGCCCTTCCCCTTTATGAGTGCATATTTATGGTTGAATGAAAAGACGAGAAAGACTCTTGGGTTTTCTGTTTCCATGTTAAGCATGGAGAGGGATGCTTGACAGCATGCTAATTGAAGCCAGAGCAAGTATGTCTCCATCAGGTTATCAGGCACTCTTCAGTTGAATGCTGAGGACCTAACTAGTTAGTGGTAGATCACATTGGAATTGGTTGCAAGATGGAAGTGCTATCTGGGTTAAGCACCCAAAGAAAAGAATGCAGCAGCCTAACATAGTGTTAACCTAGGTTTCTGGATTTGAAACTGACCTTTCCCTTACCCTACTCTGCACACCCCGAAACTGTCCGTTTTCTTGTCAGACCAAAGAGCAAAGAAGAAAAAAAAGAGTAAAATACTTTACCAATCTATGTCACTCAGGTACAATTTTGTGGTAATATTTTTGTCTGTTTTCTTTGTATTGCTCTAAAGAGTCCTTTCTCAGCATACTACTCTGCTGTTGCCTCTGTCCTCCTTGGGGCACCTCAGTTCTGGATGCTACCCCTGGGATCTCTACTGCTGTTATGTGATTGATAGGATGTAAGTGACCATTACAGTAAGGGCTCTTTGTAAAAAATTCAAACACATTTTTAAAAAATTTAAAAAAGGATGTTGTATACATTTTATAGTCTGGCTATCAGTTTGATATTTTGCTGTCAAGTATGTTTCTCAATCTGTATTTATCCATCCCATCAATAAATGTTAATGATAAAACACTCACCTGATTGTTGTTTATGTGTCCTAAGTCTTCGAATTAGTCTTTAACTGTCATTTTACTGTTAGGATTACAGTTTTCAGTTTGGGTAGTAGTGTGTGCTTTCTGACCGCAAGATCCTGTGGGAATTAAGTCCGTTGGAAAGACCTAAGATTTGGTTGTCACAGTGAACCTGGTAGTATAAAGTATGATGTAGTCAGAGGGGGGAAAAAAACCCTCAGTACAGCATTCTTGGTGATGCCTGGGAAAATTGATAGTAAATACTCTTCCTGGAAGATAAAAAATCACACACACAAGGTAAATCTTGTGAATTACACACTTAAAGGAAAAGAATTCTTTTTTTTTTTTTTTTTTTAAGATTTTATTTGTCAGAGAGAGAGAAAGCACAAGCAGGCAGAGGCAGAGAAAGAAGCAGGCTCCCCGCTGAGCAAGGAGCCCCACACGGGACTTGATCCCAGAATCCTGGGATCATGACCTGAGCTGAAGGCAGCAGCTTAACCAACTGAGCCACCCAGGCATCCCAGGAAAAGAATTCTTATGTTAAAATACTCCACAAACTTATAACACAAAGTAGCAGAAGCTATAGTTTAAAGGGAAAAAAGATCAATTTGATAGAATAAATGATGTACACTTCTGAAAAAAATAATTACTTGAGTTCTGGTCATCCATTTTCTAAAATAAGACGACTTAAGATTTTTTGATTGCTGTGCCTCTTCTGAAACTTTTGCGGAAGTTGATAACATTTTAGGAATTCTGTTCTGGTTTGAATCGAAGAAAAGAGAAGTAAATGAAGACTGTAGAAATGGGTGATATTACAAAATCCTGTTTAGTGATTTGCCTTTGTTTACTATCAACTGTCATCCTTGGCAGTAGATAAGATAGAAATCAGTGTGGTGTGCAACTGGATCTCTGTTAATAGGGCTTGTTAAACTATTTGATACAGAGTTAGGCTTCATCTTATAGTCAGTGTTTACCATGATTCTCGTCTCTGTGGCACTTGGTAGTGGAATAAGATAGACTTGATCTCTATCATTCAGTGATCTGAAGAAAGTTTGAAGCCCTTTCTATGTCTTCCGTGGGTTGTGGTTACAGTATAAGAGGCATGTATTCACTGCAATCTGTAGCTCTGGGGCCTATTTCTGAACTGATTTGGTTTATGTCACGTGTCCTACTTGTGCTGCCTTTTTTTGCACTGTGGTATATCAGCCCCTTCATTTCACATAACAAACAGGTAACCAAAAACAACAGTGATAAAAACAAGTTAAAATTGAATATAGACCTTTTCTGAAGAGTGGTTTCAGGTACTTTACTGCCTTAAATTTATTCATTCATTAGAAAATAATACCTATCAACTGCTATGTACTGTGTACTGATGGGAATGCGGCAGTAAACTTATCAAACATCCTGCCCTCATAGAATTTACACATTGTAGTTGTAGGGGAGACAAATAAGTAAAACTTAGTGTGTTCAATACTAAGTGCTTTGGAGAATGTAAAGCAGAGAAAGGGCGATAGAGATGTTTTGTGTGTCTGTGTGTAGCTAAGTAGGGCTCTTGAAATTGGAAATAAGATGGCTAGGAAGGAAGGACTCATGAAATTACAGTTTAGCAAAGATCTGAAAGAGGTGAGAGAGAAAGCCATGAGAATAGCTGGGTTACCCCATCTTCTTATGAACATTATGGGCTCATTCCAGGAAACAAGTGCAAGGTTCTGAGGTGAGAACATGCTGGTATGTGTGAGAAATTGCAAGGAGGCCAGTATAGCTAATACAGATACAAGTGAGGAGAGAATAGTGGAATATGTGGTTAGAGAGGCAGTGGAAGGCTGGTTACTGTATGGCCTCGTAAGCCACTATGGAGATAGTGAAATTCACCACTGAAAAGCTTTGAGGCAGAAAAGTGACATGATCTGGCTTAGGTTTTAAAGTGTTCATTTGGCCTGCTGTGTTTATTTTTTTTAAAAAAGATTTTATTTATTTGAGAGCAAGTGAGAAAACAAGCGGGAGTGGGGTGGGGCAGAGGGAGAGGGAGAGGGAGAAGCAGGCTCCCCATTAAGCAGGGAGCCCAGTGTGGAGGTGGATCCCATGAGTCCAGGATCATGAGTGGAAGAAAGATGCTTAACCAACTGAGCCACCCAGGCACCCCTGGCCTGCTGTATTTAAGATGGTTTTCACAATAATTAAAGTAAGAGATGAAAGCGGATTAGACCAGGTAATGAGAAGTTCTATATCTTGCAGTAGGAGCCAGTAGGATCTGCTATAGGGTTGAAAGAGTAGTCACAGATGATTACCAGTGTTTGGCCTAACCAACTGCACAGATGGAGTTGTCATACTGAGATGAGGATGACTTACAGAAAGGAGGAGTTTGGCCTTCATTCATACTCTCTGTCATGCGTGCACACACACAAACCTCTTTCTCTACAATTGGCTCCCCAAACCCCAAATTCTCAAAAACTCTATTTCCTTCAAGTATTCATCTTTGCCAAATTCTATTTACAAACAGCCTCAGGTCCACTTTAACCTATTCAATAGCTAACAAAGTGTTCAGTGGTTTAAAAACAGCCATCTACTTTGTTAAACAGCACAAAGAATTTGCCAACGTCTTTAATAATATCCTTCCTCTTCCCCGCTTAGAAGGAAGTGGTTCTAAATAGCATTTTTTTGCCTATCTTGAGCTTATCAGGAGGATTTTTTTTTCTTTTTCAGCTAAGACCTATAGTAGACACTCTAATTAAACAAAGTCTGTTCATCCCTATATAGTTCCTATTGCTTCTTCATTGTTCTCTGTAGTAGAGTTTTAATATTCCTTTTTAATATCACATTTGGTTGCAGATTCCTTTTTTTTTCTTTTTTTAAGATTTTATTTTTAAGTAGTCTCTACGCTCAACATGGTACTCAAACTTAGGATGCCAAGATCAAGAGTTGCATGCTCTAGCAACTGAGCCAGCCAGACAGCCCTGGTTGCAGATTCTGATTCCCCTATTTTCTGTAATGTGATTGCCTCCCGCTAGTTTTGAGTTGTAGAGAGTTTATAACAAATGTCTTCTTTGTACCCATTCTAAGGGTTGGAGTGTTTGCTTTTGTGTATAAATCGCAGTTGCTGTTAATACCGTTTGTATTGCATCCACAACCCTAAACTGCTCTAGAATGATTACTCTGAAAGAGCAGGTTTATCTTTCTTCTGCTCTCTGTATCCCCAGGTGCCTGGCACTTAGGTGCTCAAAAATATTTATCGAATGAATGAATTTCAGGAAAGGGCCTTCTAGGGACGCCCTAATCTGGAAATGACATCTCTTCCAACTGCCCTCCCCCCATTTTTTAAAAAATTTTATTTATTTTATTTGACAGAGATTACAAGTAGGCAGGCAGAGAGAGAGAGGGGGAAGTGGCTCCCTGCTGAGCAGAGAGCCCGATGCGGGGCTCAATCCCAGGACCCTGGAATCATGACCTGAGCCGAAGGCAGAGGTTTAACCCACTGAGCCACCCAGGCGCCCCTGCCCTCCCCCAATTTTAATTTTAATCACTTTTGTGTCCAAACTGCTGTTGTTGAGCATTGTAGATTGTCTGCTCACCCGCAGTGTGAATCATACCTGCTCATTGGTGCTGGAGAAACCTCTTAAACTGACAATAGATAAAGAAGCATTGGAAGGATGGGATGCAGAAAAGATCCAGAAAGGTGAGAGGGGGAAATTGTTGGTTCCTTCCAATAAGAGGTGCGGTGGAGATGAAAAAAGATGATTTAACTAAAAATCGTTAAAATATGATAAAATTGGGATTGTGTCTGCCATTTCTTTTTTTTTTAAATTTTATTTATTTATTTATTTTTTAATTTATTTATTTGACAGACAGAGATCACAAGTAGGCAGAGAGATAGGCAGAGAGAGAGGAGGAAGCAGGCTCCCTGCCGAGCAGAGAGCCAGATGCGGGGCTCGATACAGGACCCTGGGATCATGACCTGAGCCGAAGGCAGAGGCTTTAACCCTCTGAGCCACCCAGGCGCCCCCCCCCCCTTTTTTTTTTAAGATTTTGTTTTATTTATTTGGCAGAGAGATCACAAGTAGGCAGAGAGGCAGGCAGAGAGAGAGGGGGAAGCAGGCTCCCGGCTGAGGGGCTTGATCCCTGGACCCTGAGATCATGACCTGAGCTGACGGCAGAGGCTTAACCCATTGAGCCACCCAGGCACCCATGTTTGCCATTTCTATATACCTGCCTTATTTAGCATGAAATCGTAGAGGGTTTTAGAGAAACTGGGCCTAAACCGGAACTCGTATTTCCTTATTCTCGGTCATGGTCTATACTATATGAGAGGAGGGATAAAGAATGAGGGCTGGGTTCACAACATTCACCTCCTTCTCCCATAACTAGATATAGGACCATTCTGTTCCTCGGTTATCTTAACTGTAAAACTGGAGATAATAGCCCCCTTAAATCAGGGTTGCTCTGAAAAATCAAGTGTTTATAAATTCCCCAGGCTCCGTAAATACTCAATGTTTCAATAAATGAACTGCTCACAAAAGAAAACTACAGCCTTTTCCTGTATAAACTGTAAGAGTCAACTGTACAGCTATTTTGGCCTCTGCATGTCTGATTTTTTACTCGCTTTGTCAGGGTGGTGAGGTAATAGCAGCCTACGTCTACACAGCGGTCAAAAGCAGCCTGAAAACCAGCCATGCCGCGAACTGGAAGCACAGCCCTGCAGCGTGAGCGACTCCCGCAGCCAGCGTACGGTCAACCTCATTCTCCCTGGGGCGGAGTTGCTGACTGATGGACAGATTGTCTTAGCCACCCCAGCCGCGCTTTTTCTCAGCGCCCCGCCCCCCCCGGCCGTGATAGGTACACGCCTCGGCCAATGGTGACACACAGCCGTGGGCACAGTAGCCAATCAGGGGTTGGGAGCTTGGAAAGGAGCGGGGTCGAGTTAGACGCGGGTGGCGCGCCCGGAGAGCTAGCGGCTCGGTGCGGCGCGGCGGCAGAGGTAAGATGGCGGTGCTGCTTAATCTCGCTACCGCAGTTAGGCTGCTGCTTCTCCCCTTCTTCCGTCTTCGAGCTGCAACTTCGTCCCAGTCAACGTCGAGGTTGCTTTCCTTCTGTAGGCTTCCAGAAGCCAGATTCTCTGGTGCCCGGAGCCGGAGGACAAAATGGCGCTTGCACGGGCGGCCGAGGACGGGCAGGGCCCAGCCGTGAGCTCTGAGGCGGGCCGGGACAAAGAAGGCGTGCAGGGAGGCGGAGGCCCGGCGCGGCGCGGCGCTGTGGCGTTGCTGCCGCCGCGTGGGGCGGGCACTCCCGGCTCGTGCGGCGGCCGTGCGAGCCCGGGATACTTAGGACGTGCTGGTGGTTCGGGTGGCGGCGGGCATGGGGGAGAAAATGAAGTGAGACAGATGGACTGGTGGCCTGGGAGACGTGGGAGGAGGGCAGTTACGGAGTGTGACTTCTGCCAGTCTTTTGGAAACTCCCCGGGGTCGGCCCGGATGTCGTGGAGCAGGAATTTTCGGGAAGGGTAAGGGCTTTTTGATCTGTGTGACCCTGCAGGTTTTGGTATGAACAGGATTCGGATCCACGTCTTGCCGACCAATCGGGGGAGGATCACCCCAGTGCCCAGGTCCCAGGAACCCCTGTCTTGTTCATTCACTCATCGCCCATGCTCGCAACCTCGCTTGGAGGGGCAGGAGTTTTGCATTAAGCATATCCTTGAAGACAAGAATGCACCCTTCAAGCAGTGTAGTTATATATCAACGAAGAATGGAAAAAGATGTCCCAGTGCTGCACCAAAGCCTGAGAAGAAAGATGGGTATATATGTATAGATAATCTATATCGTTTTTAAGTTTTAAAACGAGAGGGGGAGGTGGATATTGTGGCCTTGTGAATAGCTGGAGTTTTTGTAAAATTGGGGTTATGGATATATCTTTGAGGAGAAGAAAACAAAAACGAAAACACCCAAACCGTTGAAGACTGCAAAGAGGCCACTTCCAGTTGGGGCACTCACTTAATTTCTTTAGACCTTTTCCCTTGTCTATAAAATAAGGGGATATTCTAGATTATTCTTAACCCTGGGGTCCCTGGCCCTTTGGGTCATCCCTGAACCTTGTTAAGTTGTGTATATGTGCATTCTTCTGGGAATGGCTTCATAGCTTTCATCATTGAAGCAAAAGTATTCATGCAGAAACATAACTTGGCTAGTTAATTCTGCATGTATATTTTGGATTTAAAATTGTGCCTTATATCTTACTACCTTCAGTGGATAGATACTGAAGTAAAATGTAGAGTTATCAGAAACAATTTTTGAGAGATGCAAGTGGATCTCTTTGATTTGTTCTAAGGTGATGTCAGCATTTTTATAGTTGGGATGTTTAGTTTGATGAATGAAGTGCCAGATTATTATGCTACCTGCATGTCCCCTTAGTAAGACCAAATGAGTTGACATTGGGCCGGTTAAATTACTCTGCCTTCCTGGCCTTTTTAACTTATAAATGAAGGTAGTAGTTATTTTAATTTCCTAAAAATGATGTAAAGACTAGTGACTGTGAAAATGGTTGAACTCTTTCAAGAAAGGACCTGAGTATAAAATGTTAATATTTTGTCTCCTTAGCGTGTCTTTCTGCGCTGAACATGCCCGTAGGAATGCCCTGGCACTTCATGCTCAAATGAAGAAGACCAATCCAGGGCCTGTGGGTGAAACACTCTTGTGCCAGCTAAGCTCTTACGCTAAGACAGAGCTGGGGTCTCAAACTCCAGAAAGTAGCCGCAGTGAAGCTAGTCGAATTCTGGGTAAGAATCTTTTCTCCTAGAATGAAAAAGGAAAAAGTAAGTTAAAGAACTTATTTTGGTTTAGCACAGTGCCTTAACATACACATGATAATAGAATAAAATTGTAATTCATTGACGATTTGGTGAGAATTCCAGGATTGCTGTGTTCACCAGTTCTTTTCGGTTTGAGGTAGTGTGTACTTGGATTTACTGTCTTGAGTTTATGACTGTTTCCTTCATTGCCATTTTTATGCTTGTCTTTGTTAGGCAAGGTAATTTCAGGAAGCAAGAATAATTTTGAGTTGACCTCTCTGTCCTTTTGAGGGCACGGTTACTTTATTTATGTTTTAAGTAACCTTACTTGGGTTATATTTTTACAAGCCAGTTTTATTTGCCGGTGCCTTTGTATTAAGTTGTTGGGGGTTTTTGTTTGTTTGTTTCTCTTAAATGTTAATGTTTGGGTTGGTGGGTTAAGTAATCTAGTTCTGTGTGGTGGAGTTACAGAGGTGGGAAGTCTTAATGGCTGCTCTCCCTTCCTTGCCTCAGATGAAGACAGCTGGAGTGATGGGGAGCAGGAACCCATTACTGTGGATCAGACATGGAGAGGTGACCCTGACAGTGAAGCTGATAGCATAGACAGTGATCAAGAAGATCCCCTAAAGTAAGTTGTAACTCCACATAAGACTTTAAAATTTTTTTTGTAGTTAGAATGTGGACTACAATAATGCATGCTTTTAATAGATAAAGAACCTAGGAGGGGTGAAGAGAGTTTAGCTATTTGTGAACAGTAATAGCTTCTGTATTTTAAAGTGTCCTGGTTCATCACTGTCTTGCTGCACAGCAAGATTTTATTCTTTTTTGGAAGTCGGGAATTTGGAAAAATTTTGGGTATCAAATTCTACACATGAAAATGTATAGGGGAGAAAATAGGAAATTTCTTGGACATAACAGGAGGTCGGTTGAGAAATGCTTCGATCAGTTAGAGAAGAGGAAATTGATTTAAATGGATTCCTGGCTTAAACCTCAGGAACAGTAATGTTACTGTATTTGAATAACTACTTTTTTTTTTTTTTGCAAATTTACATTTTATGAGTTTTTTTTTCCCTGGTAGAAAAATAAGAAGATGTTCAGGAGTTTCCTTTTGTTTCATGCCTAAGAAAGAGAAACTGATTTAGGATCCCAGAAGTGAGTGATCAGCTAATTATATCTTAACTAAGGTTCTACTCTTTACTTAGCCCATGATCACCTAAGGAGTTGTAGGAAAAAAACATTGCCACTCCCAATCTCATATTTCTGTCTCATGGTTTGGGTTTAGTTTAATTTTTTCCTTTTTTGTTTTCTTTATTCTTTCTGTGTACTGTCTCAACAATTCCGTTGACAGTTTGCATAGAAGTAAATAGTACAAGGGATAATGAATTTCTGGTCTCGTCATAAAAAGTCATTTAGGTTTACATTTTCAAAGTAGAATTAATTTCATGTATTTTTCTTGAGTAATGTCAATTTAGTCAGCTCTTTAGGAAGTACTTGTTTGGAAAGTCTCATCTAAGTACTTTGAAAAGAAAGGAGTGTTCATTACCTGGCAGGATTCTCTCACAGCAGTAACTTTATACCAAACACCCACCCCCACCCACCCAGTTGTGCTTCTGGAAATTCCAGACTTGCTACTTTGAAGAGGTTTATGCTCTCTATAGTCACAAAATGACTGTCCTTTGGTGTGGTAAATAACTCAGCTTCGAAGGTCCAAAAACTTGATTTTGTCAGTAGTAATTTAGAGTGGATCAGTCTCTAGGGGACATATTTATGCTGGTGTAACTTAAAAATACCACTTAATTTTATGAGATGTATAAGTGTTAAAAGGACTAGGTACTTGATGTCAATTTCTCCTAAAAGGAATATTCAAAGGGGAAAATGAAGTAGGCAACTAAGTATAAGGTTTCTCTTAATTCCGCTATGAGATGATCCAAAAAGAACTTCGGCCTCCTAAAATACTTGCATTTTTAGGGATGTCAGTAGAGTTGTTAAATGTCTTCTAATACTAAATTTGTTAATAAGGTTACGTACCGATGTCTTAAATTTAATATAAGTCTTTATTTAATGAAATTCTTTTAATTTCCTCTCTGGTGACAGTGTTTTGTTGTTACTAGGACCATTTTTTGAATCATTAACAACAGCATATATCTTTATAAAAAAATTTTATTTATTTGACAGATCACAAGTAGGCAGAGAGGCAGGCAGAGAGAGAGGGGGAAGCAGGCTCCCTGCTGAGCAGAGAGCCTGATGCAGGACCCTGAGATCATGACCTGAGCCCGAGGCAGAGGCTTAACCCACTGAGCCACTCACGTGCCCAGCATACATCCTCTTCACTTGGTTTTTCAGAAGGCTGCTTTTCTATTGTTTATGATGATGTCATTAGAGATTTTATCCTGACTAGAATTAATATTGGTATAGTTTCTTCCTCACCTTTAGGTATGTCTATGTGATTTTCCTCAAAGTAACCATTTACTTAATTGCTTTGTAAAAAGGAACCTGAGGACTTCATTTACAACAACATCCTGCACTGGTGAAGTTTTAGCTTAAGACTAATTGTTAAATCTTTCCTTTTTAAAAAGATTTATTTATTTATTTGTTTGTTTGTTTGTTTGACAGAGGTGACAAGTAGGCAGAGAGGCAGGCAGAGAGAGAGGAGGAAGCAGGCTGCCTCCTGAGCGGAGAGCACAATTTGGGGCTTGATCCCAGGACCCTGGGATCATGACCTGAGCTGAAGGCAGAGGCTTTAACCCACTGAGCCACCCAGGCACCCCAAGAGACATTATTTAATAGAATATAAGATGGCTCCCTCTTTTTTGAAGATGAATTCAAGTAATAAAACCCTGACTTAAATTTGTGAATATCAGAGTAAAGGAAGTTGGTACGTAATTTTAGTAACTAGCTGTGAATATCTGAAACATCCATCTTTTTTTTTTTTTTTTTAAGATTTTATTTATTTATTTGACAGATAGAGATCACAGGTAGGCAGAGAGGCAGGCAGAGAGAGGAAGGGAAGCAGGATCCCTGCTGAGCAGAGAGCCTGATGCGGGGCTCGATCCCAGGACCCTGGGATCATGACCTGAGCCGAAGGCAGAGGCTTTAACCCACTGAGCCACCCAGGTGCCCCTGAAACATCCATCTTTAAATAAATGACCCACTCCCCCCAGTGATTTGTAGTAAATTCTAATTATAGTGACTTTCCATTTATAAATTCTAGTCCCCAGACTGTTGGTTAAATTCTCTTCTGGCAGGGTACAATGAAGTTAATTTCATTTTAACAAAATTAACATTAGGTTAAGTCCTCAATAGTTTAGGTTTGCAAACATACTAATGCAACAAACCTGTTTTCCTGAAGATGCAAATTAGTTATCTTATTTAGACTTCAGATATTTTTAAAATCTTTTCACAACTTTCTGGTAGTCTTAGATTTTGTCATTTGTATAATTGGCTAGTTTTTATTCATCATGTTTTGGTTCTTAATTTGGTATTTTTACTTCAGACTACTTTGTAATTGTACTTAATGCACAGGTAATATTGGCTTCCATTTATATTCGAGAAAGGTTTTGGGGAGAGATTACTTGCTTTCGGTCCTGAAGTTAATAATTCTATTTATTCTGTGTGTTTTAATGGCTTAACAGATAATTTTTAAAGAAGGTGTAATATTTGTATTTCAAATTAGTTTGAGTACATAATTTGTATGTATGGTTTTAAATAAAGGATATAATTTTTACTCAGTTAAAATATGAAAATAGGAAGTCAAGTATATATCTAATGTCCTCTTCCCGGTTATTTAATGATCATACAAGGCTAATGGAACCAAAAATCTTTTAAATTTGCAGTTAATCTTTTCATTTAGACTTAAGTCAGAATCAGGAAAGTCTCTAGTTAAATTGCTTCTTTAACTTAGTTGCTTATGTGACCTAATCATAATCACTGGAATAACTTCTTATGTTTATAATTGGTGGCCAAGCTTAGTAAAGATGATGTGGATCTAGATCTTTGGCAATTAGGGGCCACCCCAGGGTGCTATATTTTTGAGAAATTTGTCAAGAAAATGAGCTGGGGACAGTGAATAGCCACTGTGGACCAGTGTTTTGAGGGCTCATGTAAATTCCAATATAGGAATATATTTTAAATTAGAAATTGAAATTACTATTTTTTGTATTTCAATTAAACTGTATTAAGATAGTAATATTATTAAATTGAATACTTTTAAGCTATCCTGACTGCTAAGTGACTAAATTACGAATTATGAAATTGAATAAGATTGTAGATCAATAAAAAATTTTAATGTTCGAAATCTTCATTTCTTAACTGCAGATAACTGGGAAAAATAACGAAACCACTCCCCTTCTTCATATTGTGAGATCATACATTAGTATCCAATGCTCAGGAATTTTCTTTATTATTATTATTATTATTATTATTTTTAAAGATTTATTTACTTGACAGAGATCACAAGTAGGCAGAGAGGCAGGCAGAGAGAGAAGGGGAAGCAGGCTTCTGGCTGAGCAGAGAGCCCAATGCGGGGCTCAATCCGAGGACCTGGGATCATGACCTGAGCTGAAGGCAGAGGCTTTAACCCACTGAGCCACCCAGGCGCCCCTATTATTTGTTTTTTAATAACTCGAATGCTGTGTATGAAAACATTCGTATTTAATAAGGTGATGGTCTGAGTGGTGGCTTACTGTTAAATAATAAACTTAAGTTTTCTCTCTACCCTTTTCTCCTTTTAAGCTTGGGTTTAATATTGTGTTTTCTTATTCTTTGCTGAATTCTGTTTTATTCCAGACATGCTGGTGTCTACACAGCAGAAGAAGTTGCTCTGATAATGCGTGAGAAGCTAATTCGTTTGCAGTCTTTGTACATCGATCAGTTTAAACGACTTCAACATCTGCTCAAAGAGAAGAAGAGACGTTATTTACATAATCGCAAAGTGGAACATGAAGCTCTAGGTAAGTTTTTTATGCTGGTCCCAACCAGCTATTTGTGGGTTCACAATGTGAATTTGGTAATAGTTAGATTTATCTGTCTTGGTACCTGGAGTGAAGGAGAATTTGCTTTTGAAAATAGCTATCTTATGGCCAGAATTTACCCTGTTTATTTCTTGTTAATTTGGAGCAGCCATCCTTTATTGGTTGCTCAGCACATAACATCTTGACTGTTGTGACTCATCAGGTAGTAGTCTCCTGACTGGACCAGAGGGACTTTTGGCCAAAGAACGAGAGAACTTAAAGCGTCTGAAGTGTCTTCGGCGGTATCGCCAGCGTTATGGAGTGGAAGCCTTATTACACAGGCAGCTGAAGGAACGCAGAATGCTGGCCACAGATGGTGCTGCCCAACAGGTAATTTGTGTTTATACCTCTAAGGGGTATATATTTGCTTTGTTTACTAAGAGTAATAGTCAAGATACTGTACAGTCTTGGCTCTGAAATCTGACTTAATTGGATGTGGGGTAAATTGAAAAGAGCACTTGAGTCCAGAGACTGCTGATCTTGAGGTTGCCATGTGTTGAGTTTTTTAGCTTTTAAGGATGTACCTTTCTTATATGTTACAAGTATCTATTCTCATAGATAATTTGTTGTATTTTCCCTCCGTCCCTCCCTCCCTCCCTCCCTCCCTCCCTCCCTCCCTCCTTCCTTCCTTCCTTTCTTTCTTTCTTTCTGTAAGATTTATAGAGACAGAGAGAGTGCATGTGAGTGGGGTGGGGGCAGAGGGAGAGAATCTTTAAGCAGACTCCCCTTTGAGCAGGAAGCCTGGCATGGGCTCAATCTCTCAACTCATGAAATCGTGACCAGAGCCGAAACAAAGAGCTGGATGCAAACTGAGCCACCCAGATGCTCCAGTTGGCTGTATTTTCTATTGATGGTTGGTTTGTTTGATTTATCTGTTTTCTCCATTGTAGGCTCACACGACTCGTTCCAGTCAGAGGTGCTTGGCTTTTGTGGATGATGTTCGTTGTTCCAATCAGTCTCTTCCAATGACCAGACATTGCCTTACCCGTATCTTTTTTATTCAGTTCAATTTGCTAGCTAACGGCTGGTGGGAATCTCTGATAGTTTGCTTAATTGAAGGTCTTTGTTTTCCTTTGGCCCTGAATCAAGGCCAGCAGTTTGCTGAAGCTGTTGGTTTCAAACAGGAGCCTAAAGAAATGTCTTTCTATGGTCTGTTGGCCATTTCAAAACTTTGGAAATGTAATGGTCAATTCATTAGAAAGAAATATCTGAGTCATTGGAGATAGCAGTGGGCTAATATTTATTTATAGTAGATTAGTATTAGGATTCCAAAATACAGAGATCCATGCTAGAACTTTTTCACTGGAAATAGAATAGTGTTAAATCCAATTATCTCACACACTCTCTCTCTCACACACACACACACACACACACAATTAATACAGGTTTTCTACTAGAAAACAGTCGGTTCTGAACTGTGACCTTTATTTAAGAAGTATCCTTTTGTATGGTCAGGGCCCTAATTTGTATATTTTAGACTTCATTCAAATTGAAAACTTACTATTTCCAAAAATAGAATGATTCCACTCCCCACCCTCCCAGTTAGTTTGCCTTTGAACCATCCTAGCATCTCTTGATTCTGCTATGAGACCACATTTACTGTCAGTTTGTAAGACTTTCTGAGTTTATTGGATTGTGAAAGTGCATCCTTATTATGGATATCAAGAAAGTTAATTTCACAGTAAAAGCACTTGTTAAGTATGACGATCTTTATTATCTAAAAGGCTTAAATCTTGCTGGATTTCATTTGCCTGGCAAGAGATATAAAATATTTGGAAATGAAGTTTATCTTTTCCAATAGGAAAAGAAAAAGAATCTTCTCTTGGTCATCTGAGAGGAAAAAATTGTTTTCTGTTCTGTTTATTTGAATATTTTACCAGTTTATTAATTATTGTAATATCTGATAAAGGATTATTGTCCTTAATACACAAATTACTTGGCGCAAGGTAATTAGAAACCAAAGATAAATGCTCAAAACAATTGGGCAAAAGATGGCTCAATGTTGGAAAGTTTATTGTCACTGTACATAAGTGAAACAGGAAATAAGAAAATTTTTAATCTGTGAATTTGATACTTGTATATATATATTTAATGAATGTGTGAATTTCAAGTTGAAGTTGAGGTGAGGTTGTGGTGAATGAGTCCTTCTAAATACTGCCAGTGGGAAGATTAAGTGGTACAAGCTTTTTAGAGAGGAGCTTGGCAGTATTCATATTTCTTTTTTTTTAAGATTTTATTTATTTATTTGACAGAGATCACAAGTAGGCAGAGAGGCAGGCAGAGAGAGGAGGAAGCAGGCTCCCCGCTGAGCAGAGAGCACGACGTGGGACTTGATCCCAGGACCCTGGGATCATGACCTGAGCCAAAGGCAGAGGCTTTAACCCACTT